AAGGTTTCTCAGTTAGAAAATTCCTCTAAAATAGACCACCATATGTGACTCTACTGGTATTTGAAAGAGTTGTGACAGTTTTTAGGATGGTACAACATCACAACAAACTGACAGCAGGTGGTAGACTTAGTATTTCTTGTTCCTATTGCTATTATGTTGTGTCAGGTTAGAACCAGCTCACAACTGACTCACCAGTGGATTTTTAGAGGCTGTAAATCTCCTTAGAGCAGCTAAGATGGTTGATTCAAATCACTTGTTTGAGTTTCCGAATCAGTACTTAGTTTCATAATATCTATAGTATTTGCTGCTGAGGGTCAGGGACTGCAGACTTCAATATGGATTGAGGCTCAATGACAAGAAGACAAAGATTCTCACCACTTAACCAATTGGCAGCATCAGGATGGATGGCAAAGAGATTGAGATTGTTCACAGCTTTAGTCTGCTTGGCTCCACAATCAACACTCATGGCACCAGCAGCCAGGAAATTAAAAGACGTATTGTGATGGGAAAGTCTGCTGTTAGGGACCTTTCTAAAGTACTGAAGAGCAATGGTGTGTCTCTGGAGACTAAGGTGCGTCTGGTACAGGCCATCGTCTTTGTAGTCACTTGTTATGCATCAGAGAGCTGGACAATGACCAGGGAGGATAGACGGAGAATTGATGCTTTTGAGCTTTGGTGTTGGAGAAGAGTGCTGAAGGTGCCATGGACTGCTAAGAAAACATACATATTCATCCTGGAGAGGGTTGAACTGGGCTACTCCCTGGAGGCAAGGAGTCTGAGACTTTGTCTGACATACTTTGGTCATGTTGTAAGGAGGGACCAGTCCTTGGAGAGGGACATCATGCTTGGGAGGGTGCAGGGCAGGCACAGGAGGGGAAGACCCTCTGGGAGGTGGATTGATTCGGTGACTGGGGCAATCGGGATGAGTGTGTTGGAGACAATGAGATTGGCACAGGACAGTGCAGAGTTTAGAGCTATGAGTCGCTATAAGTCGCAAGCGACTCGACGGCACATAACAACAACAACAACATTTTCAAGGGTCCATTATTTCAGAAGTGGATGGCTAGTCCCGCTTCTTAGTCTGTCTTAATCTGGAAACTACTCTGAACCTGTTCACCATGGGTGATCCTGCTGATATTTGAAATATTGGTACATAGCTTTCAGCATCACAGTAACAACATTCAAACTTTATAGTATGGCAAAATGACAGATGAGTGGTGATTACTGATGTCAGATGGACCATGGCTGTAAGTAGAGAACATCATAAAGATATTTGTGTACTACTAACTATGCAAAGGCATCTGATTCTGTGGATCATAACAAATTAGAATAACATTGACAACAGGTGTTCAAGAACATTCTGTTGTGCTGAATTTTATGTGACCCAAAAGAGTCACTCAGTTACTAACAAATAAATACTGTATAGTTTAAAATCAGGAAAAGTGTGTATCAGAATTATATGCTTTCACCATATTTATTCAGTCTGTATATTGAGCAAATAAATTTGAGCTTTGGTGGCCTAGTGGCAAAAAGCTGTATTGCAATCGTATGAATTTGGAAGCCACCAGCTGCTGGGCAGGAGAAGATTGGGCAATCTCCTCTTGTGAGATTAACCGCCTCTGAAAACCAAACAGAAGGTCAGCTATGGGTCGGTTCTGACTAGACAGTACACAACAAAAACAAACAATGCTAAGGAGATAATAGAGAAATTGTATTATATGAAAAAGAATGTGGCACCAAGATTGGAGGAAGACTGACTCATCAACAACCTTACTACCTGAAAGTGAAAAGGACTTGAGGCATTTACTGAAGATCAAAGACTTTGGCCTAATTTTTGGTATGGACTACACTTCAACATAAAATAAAATATTCTCACAATGAGATCAACAGGTAACATCATGACAAACAGGGAAAAGACTGAAGCTGTTCTATCTATAATCAACACCAAGAAAGTAGCAGTCAATAAATCAATGTACTGCACTGAGCAAATCTTCTTAAAGACTCTTTTCAGATTATAGCTTAAAGACTAAGGTTTACCTGGCCCAAGCCTTGGTATTTTTTAATTATTTCAGATGCATGTGAAAATTGGGCAATGAATAAAAAGAACAAGAATACATGGTACCTTCCACTGTGGTATGTGGAATATACCATGAACTGTCAAAAATACCAAACTAATCTGTCTTTGAGAAGGTTCAGTCAGTGTGCGACTCACACACTTGGGGTATTTTATCAAGAATATCCAGTTCTTGGAATAAGACATTATACTCGGGAAAGTAGAGGGTAAAAAAAAGATGCCTTTCAACCAGATGGATTGAGACAGTGGATGGAACAACAGGCACAACAGAATGTAAGGATGGTGCAGGATTGGGCAAGCTTTGATCTCTTGTACATAGAATCCTTGTGAGTCTAGTCAACTTGAAGGCACCTAACAACATCATAATATTATACTTCCAATATAATTGAGTGGTTATTCTGTCTAGTAAGAGAAGCATGCACACACCAAACTATCACTAAAAGCCATAATGATCAAATCTCCTGTGAACAATTGCTTTTGCTATCAGTTTATATATGGTAATAAATATATGCCATCTGCTTCCTGAAGCTCTTATTTAATATTTATTTCTATTTTCACTCCTACAGTGGCACTTGGCACAGAAGGCCTCAGAAGACAGGTCGGAAAACTGTCTTGAAAACCCTATGGTACAATTCTACTCTCCACACATGGGGTGGCCAGGAGTTAGGATTTGTCATGGATACTATCTATCAATGCTAGTATATTTGAGAACAATATAGAAGCACATTGTCCATGATTATTAAAAGCTAAACAAACAACTGTTTAAGATTTCAGATTTATTATCCCTGCAGAGATACTCTGCATATAACACTGGCTAACATATTGGGTTGCACTGGAGAGTAGAGAAGCCAAAGCACAAGGAAGAATTCAAGATACTAAAGAGTTGAAGAGAAAATTCCAAAAGGCATCATGGAATGACAAAGCAAAATATTACAATGAAATGTGCAAGGAGCTAGAGTTGGAAAATCAAAAGGGCCGAACTCGTTCAGCATTTCTTAAGCTCAAGAAACTAAAGAACAAATTCAAACCTAGAGTTGCTATAATCAAGGATGCTTTAGGCAGAATATTAAATGATCCAGGAGGTATTAAAAGAAGATGGAAGGAATATACTGAGTCATTGTATCCAAAGGAATTGGCAGATACAAAAGAATTTAATGAAATAACATTTGAACAAGAGCCTATGGTGATGAAGGAAGAAGGTCAAACTGCTTTGAAGGAAATCGCAAAAAATAAGGCCCCAGGAACAAATGGTATACCAATTGACATATTTCAGGTAACAGATGCTGCCCTGGATGTGCTCACCAAGTTGTGCCAAGAAATGTGGAGAACAACCACTTGGCCAACTGACTGGAAGAGATCTCTATTTGTTCCCATTGCAAAGAAGGGTGATCCAACAGAGTGTGGAAACTACAGAACAATATCATTGCTCTCACATGCAAGCAAGATTCTACTGAAGATTATCCAAAAACGACTGGAACAGTACATCAGCAGAGAACTGCCAGAAGTCCAGGCTGGGTTTAGTAGGGGTGGTACTAGGGATATTGTAGCTGGTGTTAGATGGATCTTAGCTGAAAGCAGGGAATACCAGAAAAATGTCTATCTGTGTTTCATTGATTATGCAAAGGTGTTTGACTGTGTGGATCATAAACAGTGGCTGACTCTGAGAAGAATGGGAATCCCAGAACATTTGATCGTGCTAATGCGAAACCTATAACACTGCATGGTTGCAAAATTGGGAAGGGTGTATGCCAGGGATGTGTCCTATCTCCACACCTTTTCAAACTGTATGCAGAGCAGATTATCTGAGAGGCTGGGCTCTATGAGAAGTGTGGAGTCAGGTTTGGTGGAAGATCTATTAACAATCTGTGTTATGCAGATAACACAACCCTGTTTGCTGAAACTGAGAACCTCATGCACTTGCTGCAGAGGGTCAAGGACTTCAGCCTTCACTATGGACTGAGGCTCAATGCCAAGAAGACAAAGATTCTCACCACTGGACCAATTGGTAGCATCAGGATGGATGGCAAAGAGATTGAGATTGTTCACAGCTTCAGTTTGCTCGGCTCCACAGTCAACACTCTTGGCACCAGCAGCCAGGAAATAAAAAAAACGTATTGCGATGGGAAAGTCAGCTATTAAGGACCTCTCTAAAGTACTCAAGAGCAATGGTGTCTCTCTGGAGACTAAGTTGCTCCTGATACAGGCCGTGGTCTTTGCAATCACTTGCTATGCATCAGAGTTGGACAGTGACTAGGGAGGACAGAAGGAGATTTGATGCCTTTGAGTTGTGGTGCTGGAGAAGAGTACTGAATGTACCATGGACTGCCCAGAAAACAAAGAGATTCATGCTTGAGAGGGTTAAACCAGGGTACTCCTTGGAGGCAAGGAATTTGCGGCTTCGTCTGACATACTTTGGACATGTTGTAAGGAGAGACAGGTCCTTGGAGAAGGACATCATGCTTGGGAGGGTGGAGGGACAGCGCAGGAGGGGAAGGCCCTCTATGAGGTGGATTGAGTCAGTGACTGGGATAATTGGGATGGGAGTGTCAGAGACAGTGCGATTGGCACAGGATATAGCCGAGTTTAGGACTGTTGTACATAGGGTCGCTATGAGTTGCAAACGACTCGAGGGCACATAACAACAACAACAACAACATATTGGGTGTGTTACGTTGAAAGAAGAGGAGAGGTCAGAGGCGGACTTGAGTGCAGAGTCCAAGTAGCCATGACTCAACCTCCTGATTCAAAGTGACGAATCCCGGCAGCAGGGGGCGCTGGCGTACAACCGGGTCCGGCCCCCAAGCGCCTCCCAGCGCAGGTAGTCCGTAGTCGCCGCCATGCGTGCACTGCTGCCGCTACTGCGCACAGCCTGGGGTTGGTGGGCCGGCGCCTATCCCGTCGCTCTCCGGCTGCAGATATCCCGCACCATGGCGCTGTACTGCACAGAGGAGCGTGGCCAACCCCACTCCAGCGATTACCGCGTCTTCTTCAGTAAGTAGCTCGCGGACCACGCAGAGCGCCGTAGGCACCTCGGGGGTGGGATTTAGAGCCGCCCCTTGCGGCCTCCTTCCTCCCTCCCCTGGCCCTGCGCGGTTGCCGCCTCTTCCTGCCCGTGGAAGCTCGCGCCAGTGCCGGGAACTTCCTGCGAGGTGGGCGGGCTTCAGGACCCCAAACGTGGAACTCAGCGGTGCAGAGGAGCTTGAGGCGGCCGAGCTGACCCCGTCGACCTGCCGTGGGCGTCCACCCTCAGCGAACAGCGACGCGCGCAGCCTCCCCATCGCCGCTGCGCAGCTTTTTGCCAATCCCTGGCCGCTGTCCGGCTTGTAGGTTAAGAAAGAGAAAGCACAGGTTCTGAAAAACTCCTGAAACTGGTAGAAGCCGACAGAACTTTGGAGATCCCCAGCCTAGCGAGTCTTTATCTTTTTTGTATACTCACACGTGTGCATCCTGAAAGCCTTGCATGAGCAAGAGCCCCTTCGAATGAGGATGGGCCTGTAGTTTTAACCCTTGATTCACTCTACGTAAACAAACCCAGAGGAGGAAAAAAGTGAACTTCTGGGATGTGGAGCTGGCAGGATGGGACAAGAAAGGGCCCAGGCTTCCGTGACTCTCCTTTTTTATTTGCACACCTATTATTTTACTTTGTACCTGAGCTGTAATGTGAAAAGAAGTCATTTGAGTTGTCCTAGTGCCTAATTAACTTGAGAAGCCTAGGAGGAACTGTGCTGCCAATCTGAAGAATGTGCCGTGCATCATACAGAGCCTTCCAGCGCATCAGTTCAAATTGAGGATTTTGAGATTTTAAACTCTACCTCCGGTCAAGTTTCTTACTGTGCAAAGCTTGCTTTTCTCGATAGGACAGATGTATTATCTGCATGTTTAGTCATAGCGTTTGGAATAAGATTGCTTTTCATAACTCGTTGCCACTGAGTCGCAACTGACTCTCCAGCTGGTTTTCAGAGATTGTAAATTCTGCGAGAGGAGGTTGTCCATCTTTCTCCAGTGGATTGGAGGGTGGATTCAAATTTTCGGAGAGGCACTGTCTTTATGTTAACCATACAACTTCCTCAGCCTATGACAGCGAGCTCCCTGCTGATTATTAACAAACCCTGTAATCATTATCCTTGGAATTTATAAAATATTTGCAGTATACAGTTTGGGCTGACATAGTATTTTAAGGAAAAGAAGGCTGAACTTGCCCTAGATTTTGTGATTACAGATGATTGTACTAGAGTTCACATTTTCTTGCAGAAGTTGTTTTTCATTTTCTCTCTATAATACTGTTTGAAGCATTTGGAAAACCATCCTTGAATGGTTAGAATTGATTATGTGCACAGGAATCAAAGAAGATCCAGATTTCTTGTGTTCCAAAAGATTCGGTGTGATTGTGACTAGAATTGTGTTCTGTAGAAAATGAATTGTTATTAAATGGTACTTAAATTTTTTTAACCAAATGGAAACCTGTCTTTGCCCATGATCAGTGCAAATATTATAGATTTGATCAAGTACAGCTTATGGTGAGGACGGCACAGGATAGGACAGGATTCTGCATAAGGTCCCTGTGAGTCCTACTCACTTCAAAGGCACCTAACAACAACCACTGGTAGTTTACTGTTTGCCAACAGTAAACAACAGAATAATAATCTGTATCTATCTATAAAGTATACTAGACATTGTTAGATGTAGTACAGAGGGATGTAGTTATGAGCCCTGTCCTCAAAAGACTTATACGCTTTTATGAAAATATGTTGTTATATACCATCTGAGTCGGAACAGATGTGTAACTGACCCTCCGGCAGGTTTTCAAAGAGGGGGAGATTGCACATCTTTCCCCACAGAGTGGCTGGTGGATTCAAATCCTTGCTGAGGGTGGACAGTGCAATTCCACAAGCCACCAGAGCTTGAAATAGTAATAAAGAATAATACAAACATGGATGCATATCTTATTTACATAGTAATTAAGAAAAAAAGCTTGATTAGCCTAGGGTAGACAATCAGTGGACCAAACACTGAATTTGGAATTGGAGTTCCTAGGCGCTAACCTAAGGGAGCTCTGGTGGTCTTCTCGGTTAGGAAGCTACCCTGCCAACCCAAACGTTCATAGTTCAAATCCACCAGTGACTTCACAGGAGAAAGATGGGTACTCTCCTGTGTGATTCACTGCCTATGAAAACCCACTGGAGAGTCAGCTATGAGTTGGTTCCTACTCCATAGACAGCCCCTAACAACAAGCCTTAATTCTGGCTTTGTCATCTCTGGGAGTATACTGATGGGTTATTGTTATGTGCTGTCAACCCTATGTACAACAGCCCTAAACCCTGCTCTATCCAGTGCCAATCTTATTGTCTCGGACACACTTACCCCCATTACCCTAGTCACTGACTCAATCCATCTCATGGAGGATCTTCCTGTCCTGCAATGTCCCTCTCCAAGGACTGGGCCCTCCTTGCAACATGTTCAAAGTATGTCAGACAAAGCTTCAGAATCCTTGCCTCCAAGGAGCAGCCTGGCTTCACCCTCTCCAGGATAAACGTAGATGATAGATTTATTTCTCATTACTATCACTAGTCATTAGATGAGTTCTTATTTAAGATGACCCTATGGGTATCTCAGTAGAACTGTGCTTTCTGAGGTTTTCAGTGCCTGAATTTTGGAAGGTAGAATTCCAGGTCTTTCTTCTGTGGGTTGACCTGACCAGCTAGCCTTCAGTTAGCAGCCAAGTGTATCACTCCAAGTCTCTGCTTCTCAGAAAGCCAGTTTTTGAGCTAGGAAGTTGTCTAAGCTGTATTCTTCATGAATATTCTCCATTCTAGTATTCCAGGAAAGCATAGAGATAATAGGAGGGAAATTGGGGCATTTCTGAGGCTATCTTTGCCACTGACTATGGTTTGTTTCTTTAGCTGCATGTGTATTTCAGGCTTGTAATTTTTCCTTTTACTAGAATACTAAAAAAAGCTCACTGTTGTCGAGTTGGAACCAATTTAGAGCTCACCCTCTAGTAGGTTTACAAGGCTGCAAATGACAGTAGGAGAGATTGGTCCCCCCCCCCACCGCCTTTTTCCCCCCTGCAGAGCAGCTGGTGGATTTGAACCACCAGGGACATGCAACCTTTGGATTAGCGGTGGAACTTTCTGTGCCACCAGAGGACCCTATGTTGCTAGTATAAATCTCAACAAAGATAGTATTTTTTTTTTAAATCCAGTTGGAACAAAAATGTCAGAAAAGAGGGGAGGGAAAGATTCAACTTAGGTAAATAGTGAGAACTGGAAGAAAGGAGGGGGAGTGCTTTGGAAAAAGAGAAGTTGTTGAGACAGTAGCTGGAAGCTGTCTTGAGCTAAAAAATTCCTGAGGAAATCACCAGATGGCATCCTTATCCCAGGACTGTTTGTTGGAGAAGGTAGGGCTTGTGAAAGGAACCAAGTTTAGGGTGTGTAGGGTAAGGGGGAAACCATGAACGAATTTCTTTGTAAAGCTGTTCACTGGTTTTTCATGTAAGCAGATCCATACGTAGTATTGAAGTGCACCTTATTTCACTTCAGTGCTTCAGTTCAGAGTTATTAAAGTAGAAGAATTACTGAATATATCCCCAGACTCTGACTCTTTTTCTCACTGTCGTCAAGTTAGAACTGACTGATAGATGACCCTCCATTGGTTTTCCAAGGCTGTAAATTGCACAAGAGCAGATTGCCCAGCTTTGTCCTCTGGAGCCACTGATGAATATGAACTGTCAGAAAGACATTGCCTTTGGGTCAGCTCCCCAAATGCTACACCACCAGAGCTCCCTGAAGGACTAGTAGAATGAAAGGTAGAACATTTTTTTCGTTTTCATCCCTATAAATGAGAATTATTTTTTTTAACTGCCATTCAAAAAATTCTAGTAAGTCATGCAGCATTTGCAGACTGTATAGAAATAATGTTAGTGATATACTATGTTTTTGGGGAAAGCGCGCTCCCTAATGGAAGGGAGTCAGCAGGTGCCAGCCCTGAGCCTGTTAGTAACCTTCTGTGTAGCCTTGCATAAGTTCCCTAACCTCTCTGTTATTTTATTAAACCATGGAATGAGGAGATTGGATTGGAAGATTGTGACTACCCCATGGAATGTTATTATAGTTCCTTTATTTTAAAATTTTTTTAATATTTTCTTTAAAAATAAGGAGACTTATTTAGTAAATTAGAAGAACATGTAATTCTTACCTTCTGTGGAGAGTTACAACAAAAGTTCTGAGTTATTCTTATGTAAATTGTACCAGACTTTTAGCTTCTCAGTAATAGCGGTGGGACTCAGCTTGGGATGTACTGAGTAGAATGATTCCTGAAACTTCTAGAAGCAGCAATAGTTGGGGCATGGAAACAGTGCTAAAATAATAGTGAAAACACTCATTTGGTAGTGTTGACTTAGGCCATCTTGGGCAAGTTACTTAAACTTCACTTCCTTTAGTTAAGATTTTAAAAGAATTTTCATGACAGTTAAATGAGACTGAGTATATAAAAGTTAACAATGCCTTGTATATGATTAACTATTTAACATGTTATTTCTCTTCTGCATTTGATTTTAAGGGCTAGACCAACAATCATTGACATTCTGTGAAAGGTGAATATAATGGAATGTAGATAATATAGAATGTTTTCTGTATGTCTGTCCCAATTTTGCCATTCCTGCTGGGCTAGTAGTTGAAGAGTTGTGCTGTCAACCCACAGGGAGGTAGTTCAAATCCACCAGCTGCTTCTCTATGGGCAGTTTGTGTACCATACGATTTATAGCCTCTGAAAACTTGCTAGAGAGTTGGTTATGAGTTTGTTCTGAGTCAATGGCAATGAGTTATTCATTTCGAGTCCTTGGAAAGGAGAGCTTTGATGGCCTAGTGGTAAGAAACTGTGTTGCAATCCCAAATACACATAGGTTTGAATCCGCGCTAGCTGCCAGCTGCTCCATAGTGGAAGGATGGGCAATCTCTTTATGTGTGAGTTATTGGAGGATCAGTGGTACCAAC